GCAAATAGCGTGCGTGGGGCGTTCGATCGCGCCGGGCAGCATGTGCGAGGGCTCCGGCAACCTTGGACGCGAGAGGCGTCCGGCGCGGGGCAAGAGGACTTTACTATGACCACCAAGCAGATGACCGGCTCGGGCGGCGGCGCGGGGAAGTGGCAGGTTGAATGGGCGGATGGTGATCAGGCAGACCTCAAGTGAATTTGTCGTCCACTGCCTATGAACCGTTCTCACCGAACTAACTTGAGCCCCAAAGTGTCCTCAACAACAAGTGTGGCAAGTTGATTCGCGGCACCGCCACCATGAGCATCACAGCGGCCCGTGCAGCTTGGTCAAACTTGGGTCCAGTTCTGAGCCAAAATGGCACACGCATGCAAGCCTGATTCAACTCACCAGGGGCTATGTGCACCTATGCAAAAAAATTATTCAAACCATACATTATCATTTTTTGACGAAATAGCCTGCCTTCCCATCGAATATCACGGTAACGGCGGGCGACCTTCGCGAGCGCCCTTCGAGTTGCTGAGTCCAGGTGCGTTAAATGGTTTGAAAATTGAACTCAAATATACTTTTCATTTGACATTCCACACCCACAGCTCAAGCACGGCCCACGAGCATCATCAGCAAAGCAGCTCCCAGGATATGAACCACACGGGCCAGCCTGCTGCGAAGAACGGTTTCTCGCGAGCTAGAAGAGTACATCCTCGAAGTCTCCATCACATATGTGGCCCGTGGTGAGGCCCTCGGCTTGCGGTCCACGACAGCACGACTTTCTGCGTCGATGTGCGTTTTCGTGTGCGTTTTATGTCTGCAACAGACAGCAAACGTGGAACTTTAATGCTATTTCCGATCCCTTCGTGCGCAGTCCATGTACGGTAAGCTACGGTGCACCAGCACCGGCCGCAGCAGTGGATGCGCACAGCAGCACGAGCAGCGCTGCTGCATGGCGATGGTTGCATGTTGCCGCATGCAGTGCCAGCCCTGCATGCCTGCTCACTGCGCATTGCACTCCTCCCCACACCTGCTTGCGAAGAAGACACCTGCAACACAAACGGGTCATGGCACAGCCGGGCGTTCTGCCCAGGCGTCTGCCTTGCAAGCCAGCCGATCAGACGCGGGCTGCTGGCCTGAGTCTGTGGTGGATGATCCCGGGTCCGCGGGCCGGGGCTTTAGGGCCCCCACCCGATGCCCGGGGGACATGCTGCACATGATCACCATGCTGTGTGCCGTGAATGCGGTCTCTCAAGGGAGTAGGGGCCCGGTGTTCGCGGCTTCGGGCCTGGCACTGGAGGCCTCAGCCAAACGAGCGGCTTGCAACAGCTGACCCGGCGACCGGCGCATCCCGGGGGCCTCCCTGCGCGGGGGCCCTGTCTGGGGGCAAATGGTTGTAGCCCGCGCCGTCGCCTGGCAAGCGCGGCGCGGGCAAGCTGTTGACCAGTACTGGGTTCAAGGCCCTGCGCTGGTTGCCTGGGTGGATTGAGCAGAACGCATTTTGGTCAATTGTCAGCAGCCACAGTTTGCAAGGGGTCCTGCCATCTTCGCTTTCGCGCAAAGGGTGGGACGTGCGAAATTTGTTTACAGGCGGCCAAAATTCAGGCATACACATGTGCTGTTGTGTGTGTTGCTTCAAGACAAGATAGGTGTCCTGCTGGTATCTTAGGTGCTGTGGCACAACCCACTAGGTGCGCAGCCTTGCCCAAAAAACGGAGGGGGGAACGCACACCCACAGCGTCTGTTTTGCGCACGTCATCGGCACTGCATAATGAATTCAGAGCTCACCACCACACTGGTGAATATTTGCTTACTTGTGTGACATACTTAACTTCAAAGCGACGCCGAAACAACGTACAAGGTTTCGAGATCGTCGGACAGGGCGCCATCCAGCTTCAGAAGTCTACAGCCACCAATATTACCGCCTTTAAGTGTACTCGTGTATGTTTTAGAGCTGTTTCAGCATATCCAAGGCAGCATTTGTGCAGCTTGCTTGCGATTACCGCGCAAAGATCATCATTAGGCCCGTAGTACGGGCCTAGGCGCACGCGAGAAAACGTGTCAATCGATATGGCGCCGCAGACGCGTCGTATGGGTGAGAAAGCCGTCGCGAGGACGCCAGATTGCTCTGCTGATGTCCAAGGCCGCGATGGTGGCCGCCGAAGCCTTATCTCGCCTCAAGCTGCGATACTGCAAGCTGCCACACACTCCTCACTGCGTATTCATGCGCAGGCAGCCAGGCCGCGCCTGCATCGCCGGCGCCGGCCACCACTGGCAGCGCGATCGGCGGCTCGGGCCGCGCCCAGCCTGCACCCCTGTCCACCATCGCGCATACAGCGCCAAGTGTGCTGTCAGGAATGCGCCAGGCATGGGACGCGCTGTCGGTTGCCCAGCGCACGAAGCTCGTCGCGCAGGTCAGGCAGCCACCTGGTTGTGGGGGATGTTTTCGCTTGTGATTTTGTATCACACGACTCGTGATGCCGTGTGGATGCTTGCACTGGCCAAGCCCCCGTGAGCGAAGAGTCGTCTGGACACACGTCTGGGCGCTCTTGTGCACAGTGCAGGGACATCTCACCACCTGGGTGGCTGCCGTGCGCTCGCCGCCCTTTATCCCGTTCCCCAGTGCTCCTCATCGTCGCTGTATCCTCCGACCCCCC